TATGATTTGAAACTCGCGATGAGTTTTCCTATGAAACCGTCGTATATTTATCGCTTAAGATTTTGAAAGGCTCATAAACATCACGTCTTCAGTATAGTCGGTAATGCGGCAATAAGGCGTAACTAAGTTCAACTTGGTAGGAGACGCCTATGGCACTTATTAGCGGATTCTAATTAGAGATTTATTTTGGCTCCGCGTTACGCTTAAAGGTGTCACACTTTAACGAGCTACTCACTGTTATTATGTTCCAGAGTTTAAGTAGTGGTTGATAATGAAAACGATTTGGGTTTGTATCATCTTAACTTTGGGCCTGTCTTCAGGTAGGAGACATTTAAATGCACATACTTCGTTCCGAACTTTTATCAACAATGCACATTATTTTATTAGTACTGACATTGATGTTGTCCTTGTCCTCGTCATTGTAATTGTCATGGAATATTGTTTGTTTGAACACAGCTTTAAGTTTAATCGTCCGAGTGAGGACATTCTTGGGAAGGAGTGTTATCAGAATTAGTGACAACGGAAGTCATCGTTAGAGTTGATCAACTGAAGAATTCTGCTGTTGTTGTTTAAACGTCACTTATTACTTTAGACAGCGGTCCTTCGGAGGAACACACTCACCAGAACGACCAGACTTCACGATCCTTTTCATAATTTTAAGAGTCGTTATCATAATCATTATCACACCGATCTACGATCTCTAAACGCGATAAATCTCTCCAGGTGTAAAGCAAGGTCAAACTATTCAGCAACGCACGGCAAATGGCAGATTAATCTTGAGCCCAGAAATGAATAACAATACACCTGTCAAAGTGAACAATGCCCATTGCGGAATCAATAGCACTTGTGGATTTATCCACAACTACCGCGAATTTTAATCTTTCAGTGCGTCAGCTGTTAAACCTTAACCTTGCGGACCGTATCAAATATTTAGTGATGGGAGCTCTTTCCGAAGCTTTTGGAAACCGTATACAAGTTTATAAGTTTTCGTCAGGGTTCAAAGGAGCTTCGGACAACGTTTTACACTAATTCTCCTGAAATTTGTCATAGAATTTATGCAAGATAACTTCATCTGATGTCTGTCTTGATAGTAAATACAGTTTGCTTTCAAAAGAAAGATTTTATGCGATTTGACTTAACGACAACCGACAATCTGGTCTCAAATAAGATGTCGAAGTTTCTCAAGGGCTTTTCGAGTTGCGGTGTGGCTGAATTGTAGGTAGTGTCAAAAGGCATAGCCTACAAAGATGTAAGGTCTTTATGTTGTTAAACGGTTTGCCTCGATGAGAGGTTTACTTCGGACAGAAATTTGCTACTAAACGGTCTCTTGATGCATCTCGATTGTTTCTGCGATATGCGAAATGTCGGTATGTATGAGTATGTTCTTCCCATACGAGTAATCGAAACAATTGAAACAGGACGGTTTTAGCATCCCAAGGAATGTTCGCAAAAGAATTCGAAATCACCTAGGAAATTATATCAGAACAATTAATCAACAATTTTTACTGAGCCCGTAGCGAAAAATTACTATTTATTTGTGTTGATATCATGTTTATAGATATTTCACTTGAATGTCTTTCTCTCTTTCAGATTTATCTCAGGCAAAAGGTTTGTTATTTTACACTACTCTTTACATTTATGGATATATTACTAAATCATGCGCGAGACATATATCATATCTGGCGAGTTTCATGGACGCAGATTTATGTCATACGCCATATCTTTGAGGGCAACATTTAGTTCAGCTGTGGCTACACGCAACATGCGAGACACAAAGTGTCAGTACGTCGACCTCCTAAAGATACATATTAACGCAATGTTACGACCGGTAGGTGGCTGTCGAGATCAAAAAATGGACATCGCGATTCTGGCCGACGTATCAAAAAGCATGACTCGTGAGCAGCGAAGCGATCAGATAAAACTAATCAAAGAGCTGGTGGAAAAGAAAGGCGTTTCCTCCTCTAGAAATCACTTCGCTTTCATGACCCATGACCTTTGCAAAGGAAGTCATTATCGAAAGCAACTTCAACGATCAGTCATACTACGAAGCAGACAATTTGAAAGACCTTTTTCAGACTAAGTCAAGCGTGCTACCTAAGTTCTGGGGAACACGAACAGATCTGGCCATGGATATCGCCACCAAAGAGTTGTTCACCAAACAAGGAGGAGACAGGTCTGATGCTAAAAACGTCCTAATCATGTTTACAGATGGGAGACCTGTCAAGACGAAGTGGGATAAACGACCTGATGTTCCGTTTGAGGATTTCCTAAGGGCATTAGAGGTGATAAAACGGATTTTCAGCTGTACAGAAATTTCTCTTAATACGATAACCGAAAGTTAATCATTCGATGCAATACTCCTCCGCGATATACGTAACAGTATTTTCATGGATAGTGGATTCTTTGGTTGTAGCTTTATACGGCTGGCTGTTCTCCTCAGTTCAGTTCAGTCTTTGAAGGTCTCATTAGGGTTTAGGCGTTGGCCGTAAAAGGCTGAAAAATTAACCGTTAGACGTGAAAAATTTAAACGTTAGCTGTAAGCACTACTACTCCATTCACAATCATGTCTTCGTCACGCCTATTCATATATTTGAATAGGCTTTTGATTAAGGATAAAAAGTATCGGGACAAGCACGCTGATGGTGGTAGGGGGTTGGGGGGGACTGGAACTGCTTGAGTCCCTAACGAATATTTTTCCGCAAATTTTCGCTCTCAGCTTACTTTACGTCGTCGTTGCTGTTGTTTTTGTTTGTTCAGTTCAGTTTAATCTTAACTTCTGAACATATTGTGGGATCTAACACATTTAGCCCAAGTACACACTACTGTGAAAAATGGATAAAATAATATTTCTTCCCTTGTTTTATGAAAATTCTTACAGTATTTTCAGCGAATTTTTTTTTTCTCTCTTTTGAATTTGACTTCCAAAGAAAGATCGCGAAAAGAGTGAATTTGAATCCGCTTATAAAACTGGGGTAAGATTCATCCTTCAGCTCAGTCATTAAAGTCGATGAAGTCAATTCATGTTCTTTCAACAGAGTAAAGGTGTGAGCGTAATTGTGGTAGCAGTCGGTCAAGAAGCATTTCAAGAAAAATCAACAATGTCCAAGATTGCTGGCGAGCCGAAGGGAGTATTGCTTCTGTACCCTAATTTTGATGACCTCTCAGGACATTTGGACGATATCGTCGAAGCTACTTGTGGTAAGCTGTCTTTACTATTTGTTTGTCTTTCAGTTTGTTAACAATGATTGTGGGTGCGCTTTCCATTAATAGGGCCAATACCGTTAGGCGATATTCAGCCGTTTGGGGTTGGGCTATCGCCCGCTGGCTTACCTCTTAAAGCTTTCACAATATTCCTAGTTTTTTTTATTTATTTTTTATTTTGTCGACTTTTGAATAGCTTAGGCCCTTCAAATAGCGCAACAGCCAATCTTCCAGCGCATTTCATTTAGAACAAAACGTAACAACGCTTTGTAAGTCAGTAACCGTCCTTCAACCATCCCTTATTATCTTACTCGTTTAAAGGAGAACGTTAAGAAGCGATTTTGCCACGCAAGTCACAATGGCAAGCGGTTTTTCAAGATTGCGATGTTTATGGGTCTAATTGACGGTCATCGCCGGCAAATGACCTCAAGATCGAGAAAAGAGAGGCTTGAAGAGCTTAGTTTGCGCATTCTGTCTATGAAAGTAAAATTAATCTATCGATCCAACACAGCTCCGGAACGAGGTAACTTAAGTGTTAGCTCACTGGATTCCGAGTGGAAAGGCTCACGTTTGAGACCTCTTGGCTTGTTCGATTTGGAAAAAATATCATAGAAATAGCTACCTGGCTTTATCATTATCATTAATATCATTGTTATCGTTATTTGCCTTAAAGTTTTGAACATTTATTGATTACCGAGAGACGATTGTAGTCTAAACAATACCTTTTTATCTTTTAGAAACACCTGTTCCTGAACCGGAAGGTTCGTGATTTTCCTAGTTTTACAGCGTAATTCCATGCGAAATGCTTCGTAAATAACGAGTGCCATTGGCTCTAAAACATGTAGAGGGCTTGTATATAACTGGGTATGGTAAAAAATAAAAAGAAAAGAAAAATCCTAGCTATGCGCTTGCTCGGGGAACCAGTTCTTTTCCCACGAAGCGGAACTGAGAATGNTATGGGTTTAATTGACGGTCATCGCCGGCAAATGACCTCAAGTTCGAGAAAAAGAGAGGCTTGAAGAGCTTAGTTTGCGCATTCTGTCTATGAAAGTAAAATTAATCTATCGCTCTAACACAGCTTGGGAACGAGGTAACTTAAGTGTTAGCTCACTGGATTCCGAGTGGAAAGGCTCACGTTTGAGACCTTTTGGCTTGTTCGATTTGGAAAAAATATCATAGAAATAGCTACCTGGCTTTATCATTATCATTAATATCATTGTTATCGTTATTTGCCTTACAGTTTTGAACATTTAATGATTACCGAGAGACGATTGTAGTCTAAACAATACCTTTTTATCTTTTAGAAACACCTGTTCCTGAACCGGAAGGTTCGTGATTTTCCTAGTTTTACAGCGTAATTCCATGCGAAATGCTTCGTAAATAACGAGTGCCATTGGCTCTAAAACATGTAGAGGGCTTGTATATAACTGGGTATGGTAAAAAATACAAAGAAAAGAAAAATCCTAGCTATGCGCTTGCTCGGGGAACCAGTTCTTTTCCCACGAAGCGGAACTGAGAATGCGCAGGGTATAACAAAAAAAAAAAAGAATGGATGTTATTGGCTGGTAAAAACAATGGTGACTTTCAAGGTAGATCACTTTAGCTTGTTTATCTCGAATTCTTATAGACAATTTACTTCTTTGAAGTAATCATTATACTCAACCTCAAGTAGAAGTCGTAACATTGAAGAATTAAAAAATCACCAGAGGACTTTTGATTCTTCATAATGAAGTTAGAGTTTTTGAGCAGCATATTATAACACCTAAACCAGCATACAAGGCCACAATTCACCCTCTCAGAGTGTACAAATAAGTGTGTATGTTGAATTTTCAAATCAGTGATAAATCATTAATAAGGATGATATCCTCAGTAGGTAAGTGTCTTGATCAAAAGATGGATATCGCCATAGTGGGTGACGTTTCAAAATGCATAGACAAGCGGCAGCGAAGTAAGAAGACTGAACTGATCAATGAGCTGGTGGAAAGGAGAGGCGTTTCCTCATCAGGAAATCACTTTGCTCTCGTCACCTTTGCGAAGGAGGTCGTTATCGAAAGCGACTTCAACGATCAGTCATACCACCAGGAGAACGATTTGAAAGACCTTGTTCAGGAAAAATTAAGGGTGATACCTAAGTTCTGGGGAACACGAACAGATCTGGCCATGGATCTCGTCGCGAGAGAGCTGTTCACCAAACAAGGAGGAGACAGACCTGATGCTAAGAACTTTATAGTCGTGTTTACAGATGGAAAACCGTTTAAGTCGAAGTGGGATAACCGACCTGATATATCGTTTGAGGATTCATTAGAAATTTTGAAGGTAAAAGACTTAGTATTCAGTTAAACTGAACTTCACCTTAATACTTTGATGCATTGACAAACATTTGGTGCCCTCCTCTTGCTATATACCTTCTATTCAAATAAGGATACAGAACACCAGCGTCCTGTAACCTTTCCTCTTGCAGGATGTGCATCCGGGAAGCAACGAAAGTGATGAAATATCCAGATTTTCAGAATTGAAGTAAAAGAAAAGATCATGTAACCGTACAAAACATACCAGGAGCTGGACAACTTAAGCAAAGAATGCAAACAGACTCCGTCAGAATTCTTGTATCGTTCTCATAGATTTAGTGCGATATTTCGTACGAAATTTCAGGAAATTTAGATAGCACACTTTCAATAGTGGACGAAGATAGGAATTTTCTTACAAATCTGGCAAAGCAACCTTGCAATTTATGGCCTTGATAAGGTTTCATCCTTTTTTCACAGAGCAAAGGTGTGAGGATAATTGTCGTGGGAGTAGGTAAA